CTTGGATGCATCTTCCTGTTCTGCTTGTTGCTAATTCAGTCTAAGCTTCTGTGGCCAGAGTGGCAAATGCAGTTCTGGAACTTATGGAGGAGACACATTTGTCTGACTGATGATGCTAGGAAACCTTTGCACTGCCACTATGATAAAAATATTCTATAGTGGTTTTTTTGCTAATTACTATTGCTTTCTTCTGAGTGGGGTGATGTTTCTGTAGAGAAGTGATTATTGTTCAGCTTTCTGTCTATGTTTGGGAAAACTGGAATTTATGTCAGCTCTGAAAGCAAGAGACTAAATGGCAACTGAGCAGACATTCCCACTTCAGGGAATAATACTTGAGGGGTAATATAAAAAGAGTAGGGATGATACTGGGACAAGGATTTTGGCATGGTATTAGAGCTTGCTCCGTGCCTGGCCATACAGCTGTTCCACATCTGAGCAAACAGGAGAGCTAAGCCACACGTGTGAGTGTGAATGTGGGTGCTGCACAACCAACCTTGATGTGTACGTGCTGTGTGTTGAGCCAGAAATAATCTTTGGCATATATATGGGCATTTGAGTCTAAGCATATGAAACATGTTTTCTGCCTCCTCCATCCTGCCCTGGAGGCTTCTCTGAACACCCTGTTTCCAGGGACTTGCAGATTTTCCCTTGCTCCTGATAGTCTAGAATACAGATGGAAATTTCCATCCCACTGTGCTTGGTCCCATATTAGAGCATATTAATTTCAATTCTAATATCTAGACCTAGGCCTAAACAGGTGTGAGAAATTCTTCTCACATACCCAGAATGTAGCTGCAAATAACTTATTAACAAGGCAGCCTTAGGTGCTTTTAAGACTCCTGCTTTACTATTCAGGTTTTCTCCTGATCCCATCTCCTAAAAACACTCTCTATTTAGACATTTGTGTGTCACGTAATGGGGGGGACCTTCTGCACAAGCAATGGTCTCTGCAGCACCTTGCAGATTGCAGCTTGTCTGCTGAGTCTGGCAGATGGGTTTTTCTCCCTGTCCCTTTTGAATGACAACTCTTGGCCCATGTACTGTGTTTTGTAGCACTGGACTCCTGAGCCTTTGTGCAGGACACACCTTTGCATTTGCCTTCCAAGAGTTCTGTTCTGATTCCAGCAGTGCAGCTGTCCTGGAGCCATCCGATATATTTCTCCTGTCTTGGATCTGCTGTCTTGAAAAGATGAATTTTAGTGATTTCTTGTTCACATTCTTCTCCCTCCTCCCATCCTGTAGCATGCAAGCTTATGAGAGTTAGCTAAAAAATGTTTCATGTTGGATACCACCTATTGCCATCCCATTGGAAAACTTGACTGTAGCAGAGACCTTAAATCAAAAGCCTGTGTGACAGTTTCTGATCTTTGAGAAGCTTTAGGGGCTGTCAAAAAGAAAAACATCCGTACCTAGTTAAATGAAGTTGTTTGCTATGGGTTGAGGTATTTGTCAAGTAGAGCCATGCAAAAGATTAAAGCAGTGTCTGTCAGTGAAACTACTGTATTTTGGCTTATGTAATCCTACAGGGTTTTTTTCCATGTTTTGCTTTTCAAGGAAACTGTAGGTGCCTTCAGCATTATATCTAAAAAGGGAATTAAACATTGCAGATAGTATTTCATTCTATATTTAACAGCTCTTCTTTGAACAACAAAAACTATAAACTCATTGCTGGGACTTGAACTGAAGTCATGGTGGTTCCTAGTTGTTAATGATATTTTACAGTGACAGCCCTGTTCTGCTTGCAGTATTAAGAAAAACAGTAGCTCACTCAGCGTCTGGGTTTCCACTAAAGTTTACTGATATTGGACCTTTGTACTGCCCATCCTGCATTGCCATGGTGTGTGCATGTAAGAGGTGTGTGCAAAATGTGACAGTAGGCCTGCTGCTTCAGTGATAAAGTCATGAAAACAGTGAATAAACTGGGCAGAGCTTCCCTGGCCAGTGGAGCTGCAAGCAGACAAGAACAAACTTGCTGTGTTGTACACAGCAGACATGAGCAAGAAAAAGGCATGGCTCAGTCTTGATAGACTTTAATGAAAAATATCTCCAAACACTTTTATTCTTTAAAAAGTCTTTTCTTTTCTATGGTTAAATATGAGTATTTTCACTGGTTTAGTCATTAACCAGGAATCTGTGTAGGTATTGGGATGGCAGGTAAGCTGAATTAACTGCTCTCTCTCCCCTCAGCATTTTCTAACACCTTTGATTGGAGCTTACACAGACAAATGTGCTTTCTGTAGCCTATATAATTCCTATAACTGATGCTGTAGAACACATCTCAGGGTTCCTAAGGAAAGGGGAATATACATTTCTCTGTCATTGACAAAAATAATTCCCTTTGGATGATGCTAAACCTTCCTTGCTTATGGGTGACTTCTGTCTAGCTTCTAAAGATGCTCCAGAATGCTTTAACTCTAAAACCAACCAAGTTGTACCAAATCCTGAGTGGATTTGAAGCTTCATGAGGAAACCACATTCTTCCCAGCTGCCCAGCTCACACTCCTGAATTAACCTGTATATAAGATTCCTGGAGAGAAAGTCTGCTTTGGGCTAGTGAATATTCAGAAATGAGATCTTGAGATGTGATCCAAAATTGTGCAGCTTGTTTAAACCTGGAAGAGGGAAGGCTTTTCTGCACTGTGCTGTGATGTGGAAGGGGTAAATGGCCACTGAAGAAAGTCTGGTGCTTGAAAGACTGATTTTACTCAGGTGCTTGTACTGTGGTAGTGCCCTACTGCTGGCATGCCTGATATGGAGGTGCTTCTGGTGTCCTGATGGTCCTAAGGAGAGGAGCTCAGAGGCTGCACAGGGGTCTGTTATGACCCTTGGCAACCTGGACATAGCCTTTGTGATGATACTTCCTGCATAGTTGTGAAATGACCTTTTTAATCCATAAACATAAAAACATGAATGGCTTCAGTTAAAACCAGCTGGAGGTAGGCATGGGAAATGGCACTACATGAGATATCAGGAGGGAGTGAATGAGGAAATTAAATGCTCAATGGATCTCTGTAGGATGTTTGCTCTTATTTCTGAGTCCCTGGGCATAACATGTTCTGTTTCAATTGGAGTAGTAAACAGTAAGGTCAGAGGAGATGCGACTGGGATCTCTGTGCTCGTCCTGTCTGGTCAATATCATTTTCACAGTGCAATATCAAGTGCAATATACATCCAAATCCAGCTTTCCCTAATGTTCTATTGAGAAGGGATCAGCTGGAGGAAACACGTGCTCCTCTGGCATCTAAAATAATCTGGGCTGAAACAGAAAATGTTCTGCCAATCCCAGTTGCTAAACTACCTGTGGATTGAGAACTGATCCAAAGTGTCACAACCAGTTGGCTCTGACACTTCTGCTAGACAAAGTATTTTCTTCCTTAAGATGGACTATACTGATGCCACTTTTGAAGTGCTCCTGTGCATCCCTCCATACTGATCAGAGAGGTTCTGTCCTCAAGTCCCTTAAACACCAGAGATTTTCAATGGCAAATGAGTGATGATTAGGCGTTACCCTAAAGGATAAAGACAGTGAGGCCACGGGGATGTTCTGGCTAAAAGACTTCTGTTCTTGAGAGTGATGGATGGGATTTTGCAGCAAGGATGGGTTATCCAAGGGTAATGCAGCCAGAGGGGTCAATACACCAACAGTTGCTTTTTCTTTCTAATGGTAGAGGAAACAAAGATGAATAATTGTAAGGTGTGAGGGTAACATTCCTGTTTTACAGTGGTGGTTAGGTGAAAAAGCAACATTTCTCCTTAAGCTCATTTTAAAGCTGTTATGTGATCATAAAAAAATGAGGAGCTGGGGAAACTTCAAATAGGTGAACAGGAAAAGAAAGTGCCCAAATGGCAAACATCTGTCTTCGTCTATCTCTGCCTGTCTGTGCTTGAAATCTTGATAGCTGGGCTCAGGAAAGAACATTTAACTCAGCGGCTAACAAAGTACAAACAAGTATTCCTCACAGCACTCCTTTTGAGACAACAATTATTGTCCCAAATCACAAATATTGGACCTACAGTAGAGAAGTCAAAATCATTTAGCGAGCAGATTCAATGTCTGAGCTGGGACCAGGATCTTGGCTTTCCAAACTCCTTTTTGGTTCTCTAGTCACCGAGGACTGTAAAGAATAAAATATGAAGGCATACCTGCAAGAACGTGCAGTTTCGCTGATCGTTTCCAAAGCAATTGTGCCTATCAGCTCCTTAACATAAAACCCCCCTCACCTCTCTACTCAACCCCAAAACAAAGAACAATCTTTTATGTCCGTATAACCACATCAGTGTTCACTTTCGCCCCTCGAATACCTGCCCAGCTAACAGCCGAGCGCCGCGCCGTGCCCCCGCGGCTGCTCATCAGAGGGGAGACATGGCAGCGGTGCAGCCCGGGGATGCACAGCGATACGGCTGCGGAGCCTACAGGGGTAGGGAATAAAACAAAAATTCCCTCTGGCCCCCGCGGGGTGTCCGTGCCCGCACCTGTGCCCGGCGCGCCCCGCCCGGAGCGGCCGCGCCCCGCAGAGGGGCTGCCCCGGCTGCGGGGGGCGCCGCAGCCTCCCCGGCCGGCGCCCGGCCTGGCTCAGGAAGTGCCGGCAGGGAAGCGGCGGGGGCGGCCGCCGGGGGCCGGGCCGGGCTGTCAGCGCGGCGAGGGGCAGCGGCGGCGGCGGGGGGAGCGGAGCGGAGCGGAGCGGAGCAGGTCGGAACAATAGCGGGTGGAGGGGAGGGGGCCGGCGGCGGCGGGGCTCGGCACCGGCACCCCGCCCCGGCCGCACCGCCCAGCGCAGCCCGGGGGCAGCGCAGCCCAGCCCCGGGGCAGCCGCCCCGCAGGCACCGCGGAAGGGATGATCCGAGTGGCGCTCGGTTGGGCTCGCAGCTGAACGCGCCTCCATCCCTCCCTCCCTCCTCTTCTCCCTCCCTCTTTTTCTCTCTCTCTCTCTCGGCTCTCCTCCTCCCTAACTCACTGGATATTACCAGCCGCCGGGCTCGCCGCCGCCTCTCCCCCAGCCATGAATCCCGCTGAAGGGGCGGCGGAGGAAGGCGCTGTCCCTGACTCCGAGGTGGATGCTTTCTTCCGAACAGGTAGGGGAGCCGCGGGGAAGGGGCCAGGGCAGCGCCGGGCCCTACCTCCGCCGCGGGATGCGGGGCTTGCGGTTGCGGCGCGGGCACCGCCAGCAGCGGAGCCGCGGGGAGGGGAGAAGAGGGGATGGAGGGGGTCCCCGCCTGCCTCCTCGCTTTGTCCGCCGCAGCCCCTCGATGTGCCCGTGCCCCCGTCTCCCCTCCCGCCCCTGGGAGGATGCTACCGCGGGGCTGCGCTCCCACCGCCTCGGGAGAGGACCGGCCAAGCCCCCGCCCCAAGCAGGCACAAAAGCCCCGCGGGGATGCTCGGGGAGAGCTGTCGCGTCGTTACCTCCGCGGGAAGCAGTGCCGGCTGGGCCCCGCCGGGCCCCCGCCCCGGGCGGCGGCGGCCACCCGGGTACCGGCTGGTATTTGGAAGCGGAGCTGGCTGCCTGCCCCGCTCCAGCCGGGCGAAGCGCGGGGCGCTACCCGTGCCGCCCTCGGGTGGGCAGTGAGTGAGCGCAGAGGCGCCCTGGGCAGCGCTCGCTTGCAGCCCCGCTGCCGAGCGGGGATGCTGACCTCGCGTAGACGGGCTCGCTAAGTAGCTCAGGGCTGGGTGAGAGCCCTGTGTTTCACTCTCCCGACTCAGAGGATGCTGAAGTGTAGCCAAAGTGTAGCTGGACTACAGTAAAGCGTAGGAAGCCTTTGCTAATGAAGCAGTGGCTAATTAAATTTTGTGGGCAATAGGTACGTGCTGGGGTCCTCATTGCATCAGTCGTTTGTGAGGTGGTGTTTGTGTGGGAGCCCCCGGCTCTGAAACACGGCTTTGCACAGGATGAGCATCTCAACTGAAGCAACTTGTGGTCTGTATGACACACCCCCCGTTCTCCGTCGCTCCCTCCCCCATCAAAATCTTATGAAAGTTTTATAATCTTCTTGGTAGATTTTTAATTAAAAATTGTAAAGGATTAAGTGCTTGTTTCATAATGGGATTGACCCTTTTGGGATAGGACTGATAGTGCCACAGCTGTTTGTCAAGACTACTTTTCAGCTGTTTTCCTTCTTCTACCTGCTCATTAGCTACACACAATGCTTTGAGCTCCAGTTACAAAAAAGCGATTATGTAATCACCAAAACTTTAAAGAAGTAAAATCCTGAAGGCTTGCAGCAGCTCCCTGCTGTGGTAGACTGCACCCCATTTATGTGAAAACCCTTTGATCTAGAGAAATATAATAAGGTCTGGCTGTGTGTATCTTATGATCCACAAGTCATTAAGCCATAGGGTATTTGCCTGTTGATAGCCTACCTGGTTACAAGATAATTTCCTAAGTCTCAACAATGACAGATTTGTTAGAAAAAAGAAAACAACCCACCAATTTTTCTTTTAAGAGGAGCGTGTTAATTAAGGTTCCCCCCTACCTTTTCACTCTGTCCCCTCCTTCGCCCAAAGCTGAATCATTTCTCTATGACACTGCCTTCTCAACGTAAGCACGTTAGCAGAATTGAATTTGGAGAGAGTCAAATCTGTCTAGCTTATATAAAAAAGTATTCCTAAACGAAGGAAAAGCACAGGGAGCCATGTGACTAGACATTTCTCCCAAGCTGCCTCCTTCACTTTAAATTTCACCTCTAGGTCCATGAATACACTTGCAACCTGCATTTTACATTTAGCCCAGAGATTTCAGAGAGTCTCCTAACACTTCTGCTTCTTGAGAAAACAAAATCACAGGAACCTGGGCTTGGGAGAGGTGCCTCGGTCCTATCCTTGCACTGAAGCATGTATGCATGGGCCATCCCTGATGGCTGTCTGTTTCACCTTAAGCTTCGTCAAAGAAGATGGCAAAATTCTCGTTTCTGCATCCTTATATAGCACCTTGTGTCCAAAATGATGATGTGGAAAAAATCCCCCAGACTATTAGTAATTAATTTTGGCTGTCTGCTGGCAACATCCCTGAGAAATGGGGAAAGCTCGAGCACAGGTGTGGCTTGTGTGAAATCGGTATTGGTTCTCTGTGTTGTTTGGGGCCCCGTCACTTGTGGGTTTGCACAACGGCACTGCTGTTGTGGCTGTGTGAAGTTTGGTTTAGTGGATGGTGGAGAAAACAGCTGATGTGGGGCTTGGAATAACAATTGTGGCCAGGACACAACTGACTCCCCCACCTCTCAGGCTTACGATAGCAATCCTGTCTGAGTAAGGACTGTGAGATGGGGTCTGATTTGTAATAGCTACAGAGACCTGCGTTGACTTAGCATGCTTTTTCCTTTGATACTAGATATTTTTTTTTCTTCTGTACCTTGTCCTGACTTGTGTTCTGGATTTTTAAAGCATAACCGTTGTCTTACATGCTCACATCAAATAAAAAAATGAATGTATATGGTTTAAAGATTAGCTCCTCTGATAACCCAAGCTTATACTAAACAACCTAAACTCTTCCGAAATTCACAGTTACCACATGGAAGAACATGAACTCATCATTTGTTAAAAAAACTGAGTCGAAACAGCTAAGCCTCTCCGAGGCTTTTAGCAACCAGCTGGGCTTTGCACTGAGCCGGGAGGATCGATAGGCTGCTCTCTGCTACCGGCAGAGGAGGCTGATGCTGGGAGTGGCGCCGCTCACAGAGCAGCTCCCCCAGCAGCACCCAAACACTCGAGGTACCCGTTCCTTATCAGCAGAGACACCTGAGATAGCAGCTTTCTGAGCTGTACCTGGAAAGGCAATCTGAGAAATTAACATGAAGTAATAAAGGAATGTCTGTTCTGGTGCTTACACTGATGAGAACTAGGAATGACTTTTAAGAAAAGGGTGGATATAACAACTGTGTGGTTGATGCTAGCAGTCAGTTAAAACCTCCCTAGAGTCAGGCAGGAAAGGGACTATTCTAATTTTCATCATCTGATATATGCAGTGAGAAATTCAGGAATTCTCTTTTAGAGAATCAATACCATGTAATTGGGATAAAAATTAACAGGCAGAGGGACACGAAGGGCAGAAATTACTATTGCTGTCTCCAGCTCTGATTTCTGGGATAACACCATCTGCTGAGTTGTAGCAGCAATTCCTGCATGACGTCTATCACTGCTGTTTGAATAAAACCCCACATCTATGCCTAGGTATGCCTTACCAAGTTTCTTAAGTCTTTTTTTTTTTTTTTTTTTTTTTTTTTGACAGGTAAAATATGACCAGGTTCTCTGGAACTCTTACTAGTCTGTATTAAATGTGTACTGAAACTTCTTTATTGTTTGGAATGGAATCCAAATACGTACAGTTTCAAACATAAAAGTAAGTCACTTTCGAAGGTACAAATAAGAGATATCCCTTGGATACAGACACAGAGAGAAAGCTTTAACTTCAGATGTAGAGAGAAAACTTTAGCTTTCTGCTTAAGTTGCAGTAATTTCTGCAGTGTATTTTGGATACAGGGGTTAAACACATAAGGAAATTCTTTACCAAAAATTTAAATATTTATAGAAGTCAGTGACAGAACAGTTTAGCAAACTACCAATTACTAGCAGAAGTAGTCGTCAATATTTCTCATGTGCTATCAGATTTTATTTTCTAATTTATTTTTCTGGCATTTAACTATAACATTGATTGTGTCTGATATGAAGATGCTGACTTTGTCATTGATACTTCCTGTGAGTGAGTTGAAAACTGACATTATTCCATCTCCTTTGGATGCAATGAATTATTCTGTTTGCTCTCTGCTTTTCAGCCAGCTATACTTCTAATGTTGTTCATTTGTGCACAAGTGACTGGCAGTTCTGCTATTAAATAACTTTAAAATGATTGGCATTGGCCAGGCTGTTTGATCAAAAGATGTGCTTGAAATGATGTCAGCAGAGAAGTGCTCCTCAAGGTTGATGGACTCAAGTGTCTCCTTGTAGAGCAGGTAAATTGATTCAATTGAGTTGTCACTGGGGTGAGGTGTTCGTGTGATGCCTGGCTTCCTTTCCTTGAGACTTTATAATTCATAAGGCCTGGTCTGGTAATGTCTGCTGTTAAAGGAGGCTCTGTTGCAGAAAAGACTGTCAGGTCTGTCCTACCATTTGGAAAGCTCTTGTGTTCTTTGAAGTGATTCTTTTAATCAAAATCTGTACCACTCTCTGGAGGCTTTGACCTCTGACCCTGTCAGGAATATGAGTTTTGTTGTTTTCTTTCTTTATTATCTAATGTAGGTGGGTTTTATTCTTTCATGTGATTGATGTGAGGGAGGAGTTGCTGGTTTACTATGGATGGGAACCCAGCTCCCTCCAAGCCTCCCCAGTGCATGGGGAAGGCTGTGTGCCTCTGCCCTCTGCTTGTCCCATCTCCTCCACCTCAGGATTCTGATGCAGATCTGCTAGTTCAGGAATTTTCATGTAGACATGGGAAAGGCATGGACATAGGTCTTGGTGGGAAAGACTGCCCTCTTCCCTCTCTTGCCATGTAGATGCTGCTAAGAAGTGGGGCAGAAACTGCTGGATTGTGGGGTCTTGTGTCAAAAAAGAAGGATCTATTTTTGTCTGATGCTGGAAGGGAACAATTTAAATGAATGATTTATGTTCAGAGAAGTATTTCTTTCCCATACTGCATCCTTCCTTCTCATGCAGCAGAAGTATATACAGGCAACAGGGATGATATCTGATAGTTATTTATAATGTTTTTATTCTGGATGAGATTGCATTCTGTTTTAGGACAATTGGAAGATACTTATTCTATGTGATATTAATTCAATTAATACTGGACGTAATTTCTTCCAGAGGAAGGGGCCTTTCTCACACAAACTTCTGGTCAGAACTCATCTGTACTGAGATTCATGATACTTGATTTCCAAGTCAAGATACAATAGGGAATATAAGCATAAAACATAGACATTAGTAAAATGCACAGGCACTGTAATAAGGCTTGATATGGCACCAACAGAAGTTATGGGGCAGAACCTGTTGCCTACACTGTGTTTTTGGGTTGGAACTCTGAAAGAAGAAAAGTGTAATCCTGAAGTCACCACAAAAGAGGAGTCTTCCTAGTACTTGTGTAGACCATTTTACTTGTGGACTTAGATGATCACGTGAGTCTTGGAATGATGGGTGAGTTGGATACAAGTGAGCATCCGATCTGGCCAGGCAAATATAACTATCACTCTTTCCTACCACCTGCCTCCCATCGTGTATTTTATCAAGTCTCGTTATAATAACCTGCTGGGGAAACATGAGGTTTTAAAAATGGGAGTGGCTTTGATGAGTTTGGTGGGTTTTCTTTGCTGTAATTTCCAGGCACACCCCCATGTTAAAAGCCTTTTAGGGAGTCTTCTGGCTGCACAGGTGCTCTGGGCCTCTTGAAGGTTGGGAATGAAGTATTCTGTTGTTTCAGCTGCTGTGACCTTATGGTCTCTGGAAAGGCTGATTATGGATGTAGAGCAGCTTTATTGCTCCGTGGTGACATGTACCATACAGTACCCAGTGGTATTTTAAGTACTTCATAGTTACATCAAAGAAAATACTTATGGAGTATTAGGCCTTATAAACCCATAGTGC